CGGGGCGGATTGTGAAAGAACCGCCCCCGTCGCATAATCAGAGCTGTCCGCCTCGAGTCGGAAAGGCCGTGTGTCGTCCGGAATCGCCAGGACCGGTTCCGAGGTGACCGCGTCCTTGATCGCTTGGAACGCGGAGGCCTCCGCGTCGCCCCAAGTCCATTGCTGGTCCTTCTTGGTGAGCACGAAAAGAGGGCGCGCAAGGGTCGAGAAGTCCCGAATGAACCTGCGGTAGAAGTTAGCGAACCCAAGGAACTGCTGAATGTCCTTCTTGTTTTCCGGAGTCGGCCAAGCGGAGACGCCTGCGACCTTGACGGGGTCCATTTCGACGTGGTTGTGGGAGATGATGACTCGAGGTACTCGATTGACGATTTTTCAAAGTCGCACTTCTCCGCTCGAAGGTACAACTTGTGCTCCCGGAGTCGCCGTAAGACCTCCTGGACAATCTGCCGGTGTTTCCGGAGGTCGGAATGGGCGATCAAGATGTCGTCAAGGTAGATCATGACGTCTCCGGAGAGGATGAGGTCCTGAAAAATGTCATTCATCATCGTTTGGAACGTCAGGGAGAGTTTGTCAGGCCGAAATACATCACCAAGGGCTCGAACAGGCCTCGGTTAGTCCGGAAAGCCGCTTTCCACTCGTCACCTTCCTTGATCCAGACGTTGTTGAAGCCCCAACGGACGTCGAGTTTGGTGAAGTATGCGAGCGCCTTTGAGCCGGTTGATGAGGTCGTTGATCAGCGGAAGGGGGTACCGGTTTTTGACAGTCATCGCGTTGAGAGCACGGTAGTCCTGGACGAAGCGGAGTCCGCCGTCCTTCTTCTTGACGAAGAAGACCGGAGACGCCATCGGAGACTTGGAGGGGCGAATCCGGCCCGTCGAAAGCCCTTCCTCAATGAACGCGTTGAGCTCGCGTTGCTCGAGGGGCGAGATGGGGTACACCTTGCAGTTGGTGGGCTTAGCGTCGGGGACGAGTTCAATGGCGTGGTCCCAGGCTCTCCGCTCCGGTAGCGTGTCGAAGGACTCCTTGTTGAAGACGTCCTGGAACTCCTTAGCCCAGTCCGGGATCTCGGAGGGCGGAGGGGCGGAGTTCCTGGCGAAGGCTTCGGCCAGGCGTTGCGAGACAGTACTGCCAGCGCGTATCTCCTCCGAGGGGCGGAACGAGGTGTAGAAGATGCGGTCACCATCTTCAAGCTGACCATCGTCATCGTCATCGTCGTCGTCGGAGTCCGGCGTCAGATCAGGCAGGCCGGAGTCGTCACCGGAGACGGAATCGTCTCCGTCATCAGACCCAGAAAGGTCCATGGCGCAGACCGAGGGGAACGGGCCGGAGCGGAGACGCTTCTGAAGCGACCGGAGTCGCCGCAACTCGGTCCGTTCGACCCGCTCTTCCTCACGGCAGGTCGAGCAATTGCGGGGGCATCGTGTCATCTTGACCTCCTTGGTTTCCCAATTGATCTCTGGGTTATGTTTCCGCAACCAGGAATACCCCAGGATGAGGTCTTGCTTGCCAAGATGGGTGACGGCCAGCTGAACTCGTTCGGCATGGCCCTTGTAATGCAGGACCAAGTCCGCGATCTGTTTGATGGAGCCAGCGTCATTGGGGGTGCCATCGACATTGAAAACCGGAATCAGCTGATCGAGGGTGCGGACCGGAATGCCATTCCGAGCAACATAGTTCGTGTCAATGAAGTCGGAGGTGGCACCACAGTCGACAAGCCCAGAGAGTGAGAGCTTCAGCGCGCTGGTGGTGGACTCGAGCTCTAACGGGAGGTGGAGGGAGTTTGCCCCAGGGGCAGCGGCAACAGTGTACTGCTTGGGCAGTTTCTTTTCTCAGGCAGTGAGGCGGCGAAGGACGATGACCGGAGTCGCGGGCGGAGTCGGAGACGGAGTCGAGGCGGGGGCAGGAGAGGGTGTGTCTTTCGTTTCGGGCTCATTGTAGGGCAAGGAACTGCATTCATCATACAAAGAGGCAAAACGATTTATAGACGCGAACGAGGGCACACCAGTCACTCGTCGCGGGGACAAAATCCTCTCTGGCCATCGACTCCGCTGCCGTCTCCGGCAGGGCAGCTGTGTCCGTGTAGCGGGCGATCAACTCCGCTAACATCTCGTCACCGAGTTGTTGGATCACCTCGTCGAGGATGTCCATCGAGCGGACATCGGCGGGGAGGGGGCAATCCCGGGCGAGATGGTTTGGGTCGCCGCACCTGAAGCAGGCGCGGCGAGGGGCACCCCGAGCCCTGGTGCGATCCAACTCCATAGGGGACGGGAGCTGGAGGCGCCGGAGCGGGGGCGCAGGCCGCGAGTGGCACGACCGGAGCCACCGGGCGGAAAGGGGCCGGAGCCGGGATGCGGTTGACCGGAAACGGAGTCCGAATCAAACCGCCAGGCGTCTTGGGGGCGGCTGACTTGATCAGCTTGGCCCGGACCAGGGCCTCGTATTGACGGAAGGCCCGGGTGCGCCAGCTAAGGTAATCCCGGAGGTCCGGGGGTCGTTCGAGGACGTGATTCCGTTATTGATCAGGGGGTCAAGTCCGTGGCGGAACTTGGTCACCTTGACCAGCGCGTCTTCGAATCCGGCGAGGTCCATCAGGTCCTCGAAGTCGTTGGTGTACTGGTAGACATCCTTTGTACCCATGTGATAGGCGGAAGTCTCCAGCTTGGAGAGAGCGTGATCTTGCTCATTCTCCTCGACGAACCGGAGTCGAAACTCGGAAACGAACGAGCCCCAGGACGGAAACGGAAACGGGGCTTTGCTTCCGTGGCGCTCCGCCCATTGCTGAGCGGGTCCTTCTGCCGTAAACGACATGGCATAGCGGACAGCCTTTTCTCCTCTCGCCTCTCCGTTGACCACGAAGGCCTCAGGGGCAAGGCGGGCGTAGGTGCGGACCGCGTAGAGGAAGGAGCGGCCGCGTTTCCGGTCGCCGTTGAAGGTGACCGGGGGGTTTGGTCGCAAGACCAATTTTGAGGCGAGGTTGATGTCGCCAAAAAGGGCTTCGAGTCGCCCTGGACCGGAGTCGGAGTCGGAATCGACGTCTCCGGCGATGGTGTGTGGGGTCCGCCAGCGTTATTAGCGGCGGCAGCGGCAGCGGAAGCCTGGTTGGTGAGTAAAGCAAGGGCCTCAGTTAGGCTATCGATTTTCGCCTCGAGTGAGTCCAGCCGGGCGTCTGCGGTAGGAGTGACTCCGGACGGCATGACGGGTGCGGGGACCACAGGAGTAGAGGAGGAGGGGACAAGTGGCAGGGGCGGTGACGAGGGCGGAACGGACTCGTACTCCGAGCCTGAGTCAGCGCCGAACCTGGCAATCTTGTCTGGTTGATCCCGTAGAGAGTTTCTTCTGCTGTAAGGGCAACCCCGGAGGCCTGAGATCAAGGTCCTAGCAGGGGAGGATCCAAAGGCGTGAACATTGGTAAGCAAATACAAATGAAGCTGACCTAGCAGGGGAGGATCCAAAGAGAAGAAACTCTAAGGGTCCGCCTGCTAGGTAGCTGACTATATACTGCTTGTCCGTAGCTGCCGCTGTCGGGCACAGAAGGCTTGGGCGGCGTCGCAGGCGAGGTCCCAGGGCGACCGTCGGGAGGGCGTTGACGGATCGGTGATTGTGCGGGCGAGATGGAGGGCCGGACCGGAGTCGGAACCGGAGTCGGACCGGAATCAGAGGCGTCTCCGAGGGGCCGAAAGGGAGGTTCCCCTGACAAACACCATGACATCCCTATCGTGGGACACCCAGGGTGGCATCGAACCCTCAAACTGACGACCCGCAACTACTGGTGGCCGTCTATTCAGACCGATTGCCAGGCGTACGTACGGGCCTGCCCGTTGTGCCAACGAACGAAGATATTCCCGAGACGCCCCGCAGGGACCTTGGTCCCGAATAGCGTGCCGACTCGGGTATGGCAGCGCATATCAATCGATCTGATCGTGCAACTACCCGAGTCTTCCGGATACAACGCAATCCTCGTGATCGTCGACAGACTGGGTAAAGGGATACGTGTACTCCCGTGCACGGGGAACATCTCCGGGGAAGGAGTCGCTCGGCTATATCGTGATCATATCTGGAAAGATTACGGATTTCCAGAGGAAGGAACTAGCGACCGGGGCCAGCAATTCATCGGGCATTTCATGAGCGACTTGAGCAAATTGCTGGGAATCAAGGTTCGATCCTCATCGGCGTACCACCCGCAGACGGACGGGCAAACGGAGCGTGCGAATATGGAGGTCGAGCAATACCTTCAAACATTCTGCAACTTCCAGCAGAGTGACTGGTCTGACTGGCTTTCCCTAGCGGAATTTGCGTTCAACGATAAAGTTAACTCCTCAACGGGATTCTCGCCCTTCTTCCTCACGTTGGGATTTCACCCGAGGAAGGGGTCCGAAGCCCCGCAAGAGGTCCCGACCAAAGCCGCTACAGTTTTTGCCGAACGGATGAAGGAAGCTCGGGCCGACGCGGCCGAAGCCATGAAAGAAGCCCAGGAAACCACCCGTGGCTGTAGCCTGATTCAATCAGCCCTGGCAGTTGCCACAGTATCAGATTTCAAACAGACTGGCACAGCCAGCGGCCTGGCAAAGCCACACATATTTCAACCATCTGCCTGCCGGCCCTGTGATTGATATTGATTCCTTGTCATTGTGCCGATCCTCTGCCGTTTGTCACCCAAATAGTTTTAACACAACCTTGAATTGGTCCTAAAGTACTGCCTAAACTTGGTGCGGTGCTGGAGCTACAAACAACTCCACTAGCACTGGCTAAGCCACTCCCTCCCTTCACCTAATGTTGACAATTCCTCCAAGCCTGTGACCAGCACCGAGTTAAAGACTCTCGCTGGTTCTTCTGCGAGTCGTTCTTGCTCGTTCGCGGCAAAAGCCCTCGTGATTGTCACGCTTGCGACAGCTGGCACAAGTGATTGGAAACTTGAATAGAATTCAGGACAGCGAGCGATACAACAATGATACCAAGTCGTTAACACAAACAAGCAAGCAAACACAATTCATATGTCCGTCTCAGAGAATCTGCATGTCATTGTCTGTAAGTCCATCGAATGCACCATCCAAAACACCTTCATCCTCCTTGACAACGGCTCGGACCGCATTTGCAAGGGATCTACCCCATTCGGAGTAGAAGCGCTCGGCCATCCGTCGATGAATGTCTACCTGCCGCAATGCATAGGCCCGTAGGCCTGCAGCAACATGCATGTTGACGTCGTCCCGTTGCCTGTCAGCACGAACCTGCCACTGATTCTGCGTCCATCGGAGCGACCGCAGGACTCGCTTCATTTCCTCTCGCAACAATTCGACCTCCTCCTCCCATCGCTGCTTACGAGGCGAGCTTTAGACCACTCGACCCGAATTGCTGTAATGTAACCGTTGAGTTAGAAAAGCGGAAATGTTGGGTCCCACTTACAATCATGAACCTCGCTGCCTTTGTTGGACCCATGCCAAATCCAAGAAACCCGGTTCGTAACCTCGGCGGGTGTTCGGCTCGCTGCGTGTCTTTCTTGACCCATCTGCTCCATGAAGCCGCTGCGTGGCTGCTGCATCGATCTCAGCTTCAAACCGACAATTGATATCCTCGTCGTTGAGCCTTTTGAACTCAGGCGCAAAACCCGGTCCTTTTAGAGCAACGATGGCGGCTTGATTCGCTCGATAAGCTGCCACGATCCGAGCTATTGCCTCTGCCAATCGCGACATCAACGTCGCCGACCTTGTACGTGCTCGTTGCCCAACCATATGGCGGTCACGAAACCATATCATATGCATTTGCGCATAGAGGTGAGTTCGCAGCGTTACGAGGGCATCTGCACATTGCCCACACCGAACTCTGGCTTCTGTTTCGATAACGCGCGAGAGGTGTAATTGACCGCGCTGCTCGGCCGTAAGATCGGAGGGAAGATATAACTTGATATATTCAGGCTGACATTCGGGCTCGTTCACGTCGCGTTTCGCATCGTCAGCTTCGCGCAGAGTTTCAATGCCAGGCATGTAGGTGAGTTGCAGATGTTGAAACGAGCGCAATTGTTTGAGAAAAGACACTCGGAGCTCTTGAACTTGGCTCGCACGGTCGGCGGTCAAGGTCTTGCTCTTAAGAGTCGCTTGAATCTTCCGTCTAACAGACAGACTTTGAATTAGATCAAACCTTCAATTGAGAAACACCACTCACTGTATGTGTTGCAATTGTAATCCAGCTTTGATGAATGCAACCACAGTCTTCGTCCCCTCCAAGAGCGGTGCATGACCAGCCCGAGCTTCTTCGACTTCAGCCTTCTTAAGCTCGTCCACGATTTGACGTTCACTCGGTCCATCTATGTGAACTCAATCAATGAGTTTCCAATCTACGCAATAACAGACCTTCCTGCCCACCAACTATGACAAATGGGCTAGCGTTCGACGTCGGATCCTTGTACCAGGCATCCATGCGACTTTTCCACTCTTTTCTTTTCTTGCTAGAGATGCTCTTGTCGAACTCCGCGAATTCAATGCCTTGCACTCGTCGTTCAGAGATGGCGACAATCAAGCGCCGAGCAAGTGTCTTTCCTGGGCGAACATCGTCAGTGCGAAGTTGGAGATTTCATAAATCGGACACTTGCCTAAGTGGATGTTTTTCTCGAAATTCAACTGATCGATGCGATCCTCCAAGACATCTAATCGTGCGCCTTCCCCCATCTCCTTAGTCGCCCAGCTTGCAGGATTGAGGCTTGCCCAAACGCGCTCCATTGCCTCCCCGTCAGTTTTGCCAATTCCCAGGAGATAGGCAAGGGCAAGTTGCGCTCGACATTGAAGCTCATGGGCGCCAGCATGCCAAACTGGAAGGCCAAACTGGATGTCGACGTTTTCGAATTCTGTGGCTAAATTGCTGGTATCCGCATTGCCTTTCCGTATTTTTTCGATGCGTTGGAAAAAGTTCACCATCCATTGGCAAATAATGTCATATGCAAACCCATAGCTGAGTAACTTCTCCATCCAGAGTGTGCAGGCGACAATCCAGTCCACATTCGCATATCTAGGGAAGATCAGACAAATAAACAGCTGTGATAAGATGAATACTTGTACCTTTCGCCCTTCTGAAGATCGCCGAGTCCTCTTCGGCGCACTAGACCATGTCGAGAACAGACACAGCCCGCTACCCCGGAGACACGAAGACCAGTCGTGAGACGTGTCTCTTTTTGGAGTAAAGCCGCGAAGGCCACGCAAGAGCTGACCTGAACCTGATTAGTATAATTGTCATTAACGAGAACACTACTTGCGTCTTTCTCCGCCACATAATTCTTGAGGTGTTCCTTGTAGGCCGTCGACTCCACGAAATAGCCCAGTCCTGGTCCTAGAGACGGGTCGTCACGTTCGTTGGCACGCAGGCGATTCTTCAAACAGAAGTTTGCGTCGATAGAAAGCATGAGCTTATACAGGTATCTGAGAGACGTGAGTTTGTAGATGTGGAGTTCACAGCAAAACAGACTTGTTTTGCTCTTTCACATTTTGCCAGCCTTCCGGCAAATTGCGACCTTCGTCTGGACAAGCCCAACAAAGGACGGCTAGCCCTCCCGGGCTTCGTTGACACCATCCCGCCAGGCTCGTGAGCTCTCCCTGCCCGTTTCATGCGTTTTAAGAAGTCGTACTGCCTAGCCATACGACCAAAAGCCTTGTATCGATCCTGTAAGTTATGCCATCTCAGAAAACAGCAACCATGCAATCACTAAGCAACTCACAGGTGTATCCTCGGTCTGAGTTGGGTCTTGTTGCCTCTCTAATGCACGGATAAAATCGGTGTGGTGACGTTGCCAAGAGCCCGCAGCAACCGGAAGTGCTCAAGCACCGCAAAGGTCGCACAGGTCGCAGGACTGACCACCGTCGCCGGATACCAACAGTTGCGGGTAATTGCTCCACAGTGTCGGTGCCATTGGTGTTGTTGCAATCACAATATTGAACGTCCACGTTGTAGATGCCGTTCATGTCGATAACCACCATGGCTCGTCTGGCGCCAGGGAATGGGCAAACATCTCCATCGTGGCCCAGTTGATGCAATTCTCCGAGGCCATTGACGCCCTCACCGCTAGTTTTGCGGTGATAGAGGGAAACTTCGGGTCCAGAACTGTCCGGTCCATTCCTGAAGGAAGCCGTCAATAAAAGTGAAGGATAGAAAGTGTAATGTAGCTTACTTGCAACGTATGGAGGGGACGCCGAGCATGCTCTTTTTTGACACAACCCTCACAAAGAATGTGGTCGCCGCATTGTTGACAGCGAAAGAACCGATGGTCGGTCTCAGTTATGGGGGCTAAACACAGCTTGCAGTGAGCTCGGCCGCCCAAACCGTCGTGCCGGGCGAGCTCTTCTAAGAATACTGGGGCAATGCGCTTCCACATGAGCATTGGATCATCCTGAGACAGATGAGTGTGTATTATAAGCATTTTTTTTCACGCACAGAATTGTACCGCTTTCGTTTGGTCAGTTCTTCATCAAGAATAACGTCGAAGGAAGATATGGTGGACGCTATGGCGTCAAGCTCCTCTGCGTCGTCTTCAGGAAAGGGCATCCAGCCCTGGAGTTGCGGGTCGGCTTCTTCAACCTTGTGGGTGCGAGGACGCTTTCGAGGCGACAAATTCAGACCAGCTAAGGTTCCCCTTCGTCCATCGACAGACAGTGTGATTTGCTCATCTTGGGGCTCCAAATCGATATTGTCGTCGAAGTAGACATGCCCGCTGAGCGCGAGTCAGAGGCGCCATGAAGAGTTTTCAGAGAAGAGAAGAAGAATTGATGATTTGATCGGGCCGACAGACGAGTTTGTCATATCGGATTGCAAATCCCACTGAAAACATGAAAAGTTTTGTATTTTGTACGAAGAACGCCAATGAAACTAGAGAATAGCGATTTTTGTGTATCTAATCCTCAACAGGGCCAGTCAGCCGGCCACTGCGCAGGGCTAAGAAATCTGTAGAGGTAAATCGCTCCCCCACTTGAAGGTCAGTATCGTCCTTGTTCTGGCTGAGGGGAAGGGGTCCATCGAGATATGCCTTGATTGCTGCGTCGCCTTCGCTCGACGAAAGTTGAGAAAAGTTGGGAAGGGCCAGAGTTGGAAGACGTCTGGTCACCCGAGACGCGCGAAATTGCGATGAAGGAGGTTCTGGGCTCGCAGGCAAGGTATAACCCGAAAAGTTACGCGGAGTATTTTCTGCGGCAGGGGTCGTTTGAGTCTGGGTGAACCTGGAGATGCGCGAAAATTCTTGTTGTCCTTTCGCCTGGACAGATGCTGGCAGACTGGCCATATCGAAGCGGCCGACACGCGAACTGGTAGCATTTGCGCGGGTAGGCGAAAGACCCGGGATGGGGCGGACGCGGCCCTCAGCCTCAGCTCTTCGAGTCAAAATTTCCGTATCTGCCTCCACGGCGATGAGTTGCCTCAACACAACGGGGTCTTGGTCAGTCGAGTAAAACGACTCTACAAATGATCCAGTAAGCGAATGAAGGCTAAAGCCGATTTGAAAACATACGCAAGCTGAGACCTAGTTGCGCTTGCAGAGCACGAGTTTCGGCGGTGTCGTTGAAAAAGTCGATGAAGGCCTCAGCCTCCGACTCGGAGGCTGTTAGAGTCCCAGAGTCCTCCGAGTCCGAATCCCCGCAGATGGTCGTGGGTGGATTCGTCGCGTCAGAAGGAGGGCTGACCGGGCGAGTCAAGACTTGCGCATTCAAGGTCGCCGCTCACTACTCGGCGGCGTTGGTAGGGGCGGCGTGGGGCTATGGGCGAACAGATATCAGCCGTCATTCAAGTTAGATGTGTGCCAGTGCATTGCTCACATTGGTCAGGGGATCGCCGTCGTGTGCGTCGTGCTGAGTCGAAAGGGTGAGTAAGTACTGAGAGCTAGGTAGAATAGAGGACACGAACAACGGGGCGTGGTCACTGGAAGCGGCGAAGGAGACTTGGACATTTGTTTGGGCGCGTAAGTTTTGGGGCCGCGTTTCTGTTGGGGCGACGAAAAAGCAGATGGCGTGGTTCGGGTTTAAGTGAAAGTCTGTGAACCCGATGCAATCGCCTCATGTGACTGCATTGTCAGTACGATCGCCGTTGGCGAAGAAAAAAAGGGCCTGAATTTGCCGTACTCGCTTGGGGACTTATCGCCAAATGACGCATCTTGAAAACTGCATGCATGTTGCCAAGTGGGTCTACTAGTCTCGTACTCGTAGCCATCAACCTGTCGTTTTTTCAAGTTGGCCGTCACGGTGACGCTCGCAGCTCCTTCACTCGATGGCTAAGACGGCTAGGAACAAGAACTTATTTGGTGCGCACCGCAATAGCTGTTAGACGAACGCACAATTTTTTTTTCGCAGTTCCGCATTTCCGGCCTCCGGGTGCCAGGGAAATCCCCCATGGTCAAGCGCTTTTTGGTTACACGCCTCCTGGCGTGCATCGGCAGTTCACTGCAAGGACGCCCATGCCGACCGAAGAAAACCTTTACCGCAGCAAAACGCGTCCCCCGTCCATGGACAACGTCGTGGCAGACACCGAGGACTTGTGTGGCCTTTGCCATCGGCTCTTCTCCTCGCCCGTCCAGTGTGTCGCTTCCTTCCTTCAAGTGCTCAAATCCCCGACCATGTTGACCACTCTCCAGACTACATCACATCCCACTGGATTTCCGTTGGGTCGACGACCCGTGCGGCCATAGCTTCTGCTGTGTCTGCCTCTCGTTATGGCTGATCGAGAACCACGACTGCCCCACCTGTCATCAGCGAATCCACCATCGGCCTGTTCCCAATCGTCGCCTCCAGTGGGAAATCCGACGCAAGTACTGCCAGCAGTGGTACGATGCGAGCACAGTCGATATGCGATTCAGAGGTTTTCATTTTCCAGCCGAATTCCGTTTAGTTCGCTTGTACCCCCGGGACGAATCGTAGACTGTTGCCAATCTAATATACTGATTGCTGGCCTTGCTTTCTTGCCCGTTTGTTTGCTTCTTACAGACCGATGGCCGGCGCGTGCCTGTTTGTGACCACGTTATCGATTCCTTGAAGTTTGCCACTGACAACAACTTACAAAGCTCAAGCATGTCCGACTTGACCCACGACTCGGAGCAGGCGGCCACCGCCCCTTCAGGCGCAATTAGCAGATGCGCAGCTTGAAGTTCAGAGACTCCAGTCTCAGGTTGCCAATATCGAAGGCATCCAGCTCGTCCCACTACACAAGAAAATTAGAAGTATGGCCTTTCTTTTCAGCAACATTCAAAGACGAATTGACCATTTTGAAAGCTCATGCAAACGGGCTCTTCTTCGCCGTTTTTCGGGGCCGAAAGATTGGGGTGGCTGAGGGCTTGTGAGTGCAGCTAGATAAAAGATAGGAACTCCGACTCCAATTGACCGTTTGCTACAAAGCTCCGCCCTCCACCAAGCCGTCTGGGGCTTTCCGGGCATGATTTACAGGTCGTACACCGATCTTGATATGGCTCTCAAGGCGTTGTCCCACGCAGAAATGCTTGGGCTGACTTCCAGCAAGACGATAGCGCCAGGAGAGTTGCATTTACCCATCTCGATGACGCCACTCCCTGTCAACATCGAGGACCTGGATGCCGAACCAAGCCTCCGCCCTGGAGAGTCATGGTATGTTTGCATTGAAGGTATCCGACCAGGCGTATATGCAACATGGTGAGATCTATTGTCAGTCCCAGACGTCGAAGGACACTGATAGCGAACTCAGGATCGAGTCTGCTGCCAACTGGCATGGGATTGAGGGCGGTAGACATAGACAAGCGCAATCGTTTGAAGATGCTCTGGAGATCCTTGCGCGTGCCAGAAAGGATGGGGAGTTGCGGGTATCGAGGGTTGCTTCGACACAACCAGTAGGCAGAACCATTAAATCAGACCCCCTGTTGGGTTGGGTGTACGTTTAACGTGGTAATGGCATGTATTGAATCCAATCTTCAACTTGAAAGTACATCAAGGTTTGCCCTCACTGGCACTCAACTCCTATCTCGCTGAGGAAAATAAGGTGTGGGGCTGGCATTGCTCTTGCTTGGAATATGTCGTTTACACGCACTTGTATCGTGCCATTCTCTGACGATTCACGATAATATCTCGGTGTCTACATTGGAGCTCGTCAATTCTGTCCCAGGAAAGAAAATGCGGGAAGACATACGTTTGTCGATAGCGACGGCTTGCCTCTCGACTGCGCCTTCTTCTTCTCTCGTCCTCCGAGGCATCCTTCTGTATCAAACGGTCCCTAGTGGCCAGAGGGTTTGATGTCAATGGCGCCAGGAGCTTCGTGGCTTGGCTTACCGCTGCATCCGCTCTCGTGCTTTTTTCCTCAGCACTAGGCGATTTCTGTAGGGCCAAGGCACTCATATCAGTAATAAAGGACTGTGCTTAGTTCACTGACTTCGTGCGATACTTAGCGCAAGCTTCTCGTCGAGCCACCAATGCAGAGTTGCTTTGGAAAGTTGAAGTCATCGTGGCACAAGTGGCAGTGTACAAACACGGGCCGTGACAGTATGAAGTCAACGAGAAGTGCACAGATTTCATTCAGTGAACTCATTACACAAGCACCGTCGATATGTAACTCGTAAGGTTCTCCAGTTCACGTGGTGAATGTTGTAATGGCGGGTTCGCTGGGGTGAGGACAGACTTCGCCCTGGATAGGCTCGCTGTGTCCAAGCTGGTAAACGTAACCGATAGAGCTCATAAGCTCTGCGCCGCCAAACAGTCCCATCCCAACGCTACCCAAAAACATTTAGGAATCCAATCAAAACGGCAAATTGGAGGGCTAACCTCGATATATGGGCACACACCGCGCGACGAGCATGGTCTATTTTGAAGCAATCCGCGCAGCCATAGAGGCCCGTCCGACAGTAAGGAGTGCAGCAACGATATAGTGGACCATTCGAAGAGTAGCACCAAGTACAATGAAACGGGCCGCCCAGTCGGACTTCGCGGCGCAACTCACGACGTCGAGCGAGGTAAAAACGTGGGTTGAACATAAGTTGACGAAGAGATGAATCTGAAGGTCGGGGAGGCGACGAGTCTGACGATGCCGCTTGCCCAGCTTGAGAACGTAGAACTCGATCGGAGGAAGGAGTTCCTGGGTTGGATGTAGTAACTTCGCGCGCCGGCGGGAGGGTGAAGGGCGAATGGGAGAAGAAGCGGTAGAAATATTGTTGTTGTCTGCGCCATTGCCACGGGAGCGCAAGAGGCGATTCCGCTGGTTTCGGCGGACCGGCGAATAGAGCATAACTCGACGAGCCTGCCAGTGAGCGGCGGCGAGGACTTCAAGTTGAAGTGTCTTGAAATCCGTTGCTGATTATATGGAAGTGCAACCTAGCCAGACTGGCGCATTACAGCGGCTTGTAAGAGTTGAAACACTCTTGAATCTAGATAACCCTGTCGCATTGGTGACAACTGGAAGGTTGGCACACTGGCGCTGAACCATTGTTTTGGGCCAGCAGGGTCGCAAATAAATGTAGCCTAGAGCCTTGGAGGTAAAACTAGGCGGGTTAGCCTGAGATCTTCGTTACGCGGAGGCATGAACCGCTCAAATTGGGCAGATTTTGCCGTAAGATCGCGAACAAATTTCACGCTGAGAAAATGATGAGTTTGGTAATGTCAAACCCTGGGTTCAAAAACCCTTTTTCTTCGCCTTTTAAACCTTTTATTTTGGCCCTGGTTGATAAGATAAGACAAGGAGGAGATAAGATGGACGATAAGATAGTGATTGGATCATCAGATGTCGATGCTGATGTTGATTGACAGCGTGGAGTTGAACATGAGGCAAACAGCACGTAAAGGCATGGCTAAAGCATGACATCATTA